ACCATGCTTTCCTTGAAAAACACATGTCATATTGAATACCTGCAAAATAAGAAGATACAGAAGTGTTACATTTTCTGGGTTTCCTACCATCTCAAGTTTTTCATACACAGCATACCAAGTATATGGATGCATTAAAAATGGTCATACTTGACTCCATTGTATATTCGTGCCTCCTTTGTCAAATATTAATTGAGCATAGTGATTTGGGTTGATATCTGGGTTCTCGATTCTATTCCATTGATCTATATGTCTGTTCTTGTGCCAGTACCAGGCTGTTTTGAGAACAGTGGCTTTGTAATACAGTTTGAAGTCTGGTATTGAGATCCCTCCTACTTTACCCTTCTTTCTCAGGATTGCTGTGGCTATTCGGGGTCTTTTATTGTTCCAAATGAACTTTTGGAGAGTTCTTTCTAGGTCGGTGAAATATGCCGTTGGTATTTTAATGGGGAGTGCATTGAACCTATAGATTGCTTTAGGAAGTATGGACATTTTGATGATGTTGATTCTACCGATCCATGAACATGGTATATTCTTCCATCTCTTTACATCTTCCTCTATCTCTTTTTTCAGTGTCATGTAGTTTTCTGCATATAGGTCCTTTACTTCCTTAGTTAAATTTATTCCTAGGTACCTTAATTTTTTTGGTGCGATGGTAAATGGAATTGCTTTTTTAATCTCTATTTCTATAGTTTCGCTTTTGGTGTATAGAAATGCCGTGGATTTCTTGGCATTAATTTTGTATCCTGCTACATTGCCAAATTCATTTATTAAGTCAATTAGTTTTTTAATGGAGTCTTTTGGGTTTTTTATGTACAGTATCATGTCATCTGCAAATAAGGATAACTTTACTTCTTCTTTTCCAATTTGGATGCCTTTTATTTCCTCCTCTTGTCTAATTGCAATGGCTAGTACTTCCAGTACTATGTCAAACAGGAGTGGCGAGAGTGGGCATCCCTGTCTTGTTCCTGTTCTTAGAGGGAATGGTTTTAGTTTTTGCCCATTGAGTATAATGTTGGCTGTGGGTTTATCATATATAGCTTTTATTATGTTGAGGTATGATCCTTGTACTCCCACCTTGTTAAGAGTTTTTATCAGGAAAGGGTGTTGGATTTTATCAAATGCTTTTTCTGCATCAATTGATATGACTATATGATTTTTATCTTTCAGTTTGTATATACAATGGAGTCAAGACAGTTTCTTCAATAAATGGTGTTGGGAAAATTGGGTAGACACATGCAAAAGAATGAAACTAGATCACCAACTTACACCATACACAAAAATAAACTCAAAATGGATACAGGACTTAAACATCAGACGGGAAACCATAAAAATACTAGAAGCATCCGCAGGCAGCAAAATCTCAGACGTATGCCAAAAGAACTTCTTCACTGATACTGCCCCTAGGGCAATGGAAGCTAAAGAGAAAATAAACAAATGGGACTACATCAAAATAAAAAGTTTTTTTACAGCAAAAGAAACCATCAACAAAACAACAAGAAAGCCCACGGTATGGGAGAATATATTTGCAAATAATACCACGGATAAAGGTTTAATCTCCAACATCTACAGACAGCTGATACAACTAAATAAAAGGAAGATGAATGATCCAATTAAAAAATGGGCAATGGACCTAAATAGAATATTTACAAAAGAAGACAGAAAGAAGGCCAAAAGGCACATGAAAACATGCTCAAAGTCACTAATTATCCGAGAGATGCAAATCAAAACAACAATGCGGTACCATCTCACACCTGTCAGAATGGCCAACATCAACAAATCAACAAACGACAAGTGTTGGCGAGGTTGCGGAGAAAAAGGAACCCTCGTGCACTGCTGGTGGGAATGCAGACTGGTGCAACCACTGTGGAGAACAGTGTGGAGTTTCCTCAAAAAACTGAGAATGGAACTCCCATTTGACCCAGTAATCCCACTTCTTGGAATATATCCCAAGAAACTAGAAACACCAATCAGAAAGGATATATGCACCCCTATGTTCATAGCAGCACAATCTACAATAGCCAGAATCTGGAAACAGCCGAGGTGCCCGTCAGCTGATGATTGGATCCAAAAACTTTGGTACATCTACACAATGGAATACTATGCTGCCATAAAAAAGAAGGAATTCTCATCATTTGCAGCAACCTGGATGGAATTGGAGAACATCATGCTGAGTGAAATAAGCCAATCAATGAAAGAGAAACACCACATGACCCCACTCATTTGTGGATAATAAAGATCATTATAAACTGATGAACCAAAAGATAGATATAGAGACAGTAAAGCAACAAGCAGATTGTCAAATTACAACGGGGAGGGGAGGAGGGTCTGGGGGAGACAATAAATCAACCCAAGGACTTGTATACCTGCATATAAGTACAACCAATGGACATAAAACTCTGGGGAGGGAGGGGATACATGGGAGGGAAGGAGGGGGGCAAAAAAAATCAATAAAATATGTAAAATAAATAAATTAATAAAAAAAAAATGGTCATACTTCATACTGTAAATGCATACACTTTGGAGGTTTTCCCAGAAGCAGTAATTGACGGATTCAATCTCCTTTAGTCTCATCTTAAATCCTGCTTGTTACAGAGAAGAAAAATGGTGGCATGTTAACTGACCCACATGGGTATGGGTCTCATTTGTGACATGTGCTAATCTCTGCTAATGTGAACAGCAGGAGGATATTACCAAAATGCAGATAAGACATTGTTTACTGAGGATATGACTAACTGGAAGCTTGTCCTGTAAATACACCAAAAAAAAAAAAAATGCCCAGTGTTCATATCATTGTGGGAGATTTTAGAGGACCAGGAAGAGAGAAAGAAAAGAGGAGCTTAAGGTGTGTACTAGACTTATCAGAGGATCACTTTATAAGTTATATAATTGTCTAACTACTATGCTGTATATCTGGAACTAATACAATATCAAATGTCAACTATAATTGAAAGATAAAAATTAAAATAAAAAAAAGAGAGGTTTAACTTTAGAAATCTGATTATTAGATTTGTCTATGTTTTCTTCAAAAATAACTCGGTATTTTATACAAATCCTTGCTGTCTAAAAATATATCAGTTGTCTTTTCTATTTATCACACCAATGGTGTGAAAATATATTCTTAGTTTTAAATTATATATGTTTGCACAGGTATAAGAATAATGATGGTAATTTGTATCATCATAATATTAATACAAATAAAGAATATTGCTTAAGAACATGCAACCTGGAACCAGAGTGCCTGGGTTTGATTATTAACTTAAGACTTGGCAGTTGTGGACCCTGAGAAAACATTTAACCACAACTTGCCTTAGTTTCCTTCTTTGTAAAATGGGGCTAAAAATAGACCTCTCTCATACAGCCATTGTGAAAATTAAATTACGCAACATACTTAGAATTAAATGATTTTATCTACTTAGAAGTGTTTAGCAAAGTGCTATATAATAAATGTTATATTAATTGAAAGAACAATATATGCCCAGTATTGTATTAAGCATTTAAGAAATTTAAAGAAAACTATGTTTTGAATTTTAATTTCAAGGAACTTATATCAGAATTTGGTAACTAATCACGCCAAACACATGTGATTAGAGAGCAATAATAGAGAGTGTCATTATATCCCAAGTATTGTATATTGTTTTCAAAGACAACTACAGCCTTTTTTTCTCTTCTCCTCCCATTCTTCTCTGCAGTGTGACTTTGCTGCTCACTCACCAAGAGATGGAGACTATTTCCATGACCTTTGAGTCAAGGCTTGTCTTGTGACTAATTATGACTTAGAATACGTTGGAAATGATGCTATGTTGAGTTCTGGAGTCTACATCTTGAGGGGCATCACAGCTTCTACCATACAATCTGTCCTGAGACTGACACAGAAGGAAATTGGTCTAGCCAGCCAGAGGATGAGGGGCCAATGGAGAAAGATGAAGATGCTCTAACCAACACCAGTACCACTTGTCAGACATGTAGGTGAGGCCATCCTGCTGTTGTTGTAAGCTACTGAGTTTTGGGAATAGTTACACCTAAATAGGTAACAAGTTTCAAGTGGTGCAGGAAAAAATGCAATTGTTTTTTTTTTAGAAGTTTAGAGAAATACGTGGAGGCATGAGGTAATCTTGAAAGAGATAACATCTTAATAGGCCTTGGACAATGTCTTAGCATGGTTTGGCTTCTATAACAAAATATCATAGGCTGTATAGCTTATAAACAACAGAAATATATTTCTCAGAGTTCTGGTCAAGTGAGACACACTCTTTCTGATTTATGGTAAATTTCTTCCACTGTGGTCTCACCTGGTAGAAGAGTTAGGGATCTCTCTGAAAGCTCATTTATAAGCTAATCCCTTTCACAAGCTTGCCACCCATATGATTTAACCGCCTTCTGGAGGCCCTACCTTCTAGTATAACTTGGGGGTGGGGGGTGGGGAGTGGTGGGGAGTTAGGACTCAACATATGGATTTTGGGAGGACACATTCAGATCATAATATTTAAAAATAAATAGGAGGTGACTAGCTGGAGAAGAAGTCCACATAGAAGCTAAAGATGTAGCATACTCAAATGAACTTGACTGAGCAATAATAAGTTTTGCACATATGTAAGTAGGAGATCAGGAATAATGGGAATAGGAAGGTCAGGGAGGCAATTAGACCAATTGACAAATAAGTTTTTATGTTTGAGGAGAGAGAGTGAGAGAGAGAGAGAGAGAGAGAGAGAGAGAGAGAGAGAGGATTTATTTATAAGGTTAAGAAAACTATGGAGAACTTTAAAAACTAGTCAGAAACACCAATGTGATATTTTTTTTTTCTCCTTTCTGCTGGATATTCTTTATTTTGAGCTACAGGTGTACTTTGGGGTGGGAGGGGGAGGGTCATGCAGCAAGTGGCTCCTACATAAAACCAGAGTCTACGAATGGTTGTCATCCCATTAAGAAGAGGCAGAATCGCTGGAGTCTCTCCTTAGACACAGAGCTGGCGCTGCTGGCATCCGCGGCGGCGTGGCCTCAGTTTAGGGGATGCCCGAGATGTACCTCGCCCCGATCAACATGACCATGCTACTCACGACAAAAAAGCCCAGGGGCAGGCTGCTGAAGATGCTGGGGTCGCCGCCTACCGCGGCCTCCGTGGTCGCCCAGCCCATGGACTTCCTCACGGCCTTCTTCCAGACGGAGTAGCGGACCTCGCTCTCCTCGGCGTTGATCTGGGGCTCGAACCTTTCCATGATGAAGGACGACAGCTTCGCGGGGTCCAGGCTCCACACCCCGACCCCTTCGGCGGTGCCCGCGGCGATGGCGGCGCCCAGGGCGGTGATCTCGGGCATGGTGGGCTTCACCACGGGGATGCACAGGATGTCCGCCTGCAGCTGCATGAGGACCTTGTTGTTGGTCATCCCCCCGTCCACCTGCAGGTGGCTGAGCGGAATGCCGCAGTCGCGGTTCATGGCGTCCAGGATCTCCCGGGTTTGGAAGCACACGGCCTCCAGGGCGGCGAAGGCCAGGTGGCTCTTGTTGGTGAACTGGGTGAGCCCGCAGATGATGCCCCTGGCGCTGGGGTCCCAGTAAGGCGCGTACAGCCCCGAGAAGGCGGGGACGAAGTAGCAGCCGTAGGAGGTGCCCACCTCCTTGGCGAGCTTCTCCATCTCCTCCATGGACTTGATGATGCCGAGGTTGTCCCGCAGCCAGCGCACCAGGGCGCCCGCGATGGCCACCGAGCCCTCCAGGGCGTAGCACACGGGCTTGTCCCGGCCCAGCTTGTAGCCCACGGTGGTGAGCAGGCCGTGCTCCGAGAACACGCACTTGCTGCCCGTGTTGCACAGCAGGAAGCAGCCGGTGCCGTACGTGTTCTTGGCCTGCCCGTCCTGGAAGCACATCTGCCCCACCAGCGCTGCCGACTGGTCCCCTAGGCAGCCGGAGATGGGCACGCCGCCCAGGGTCCCCCGCCTCATCAGGCCGTAGATCTCGGAGCAGCTCCGCACGTTGGGGAGGATGCTCATGGGGACCCCGAAGAACTCGCAGAGCTCCTTGTCCCACTGCAGGGAGTGGATGTTGAACAGCATCGTCCTGCTGGCGTTGGTCACGTCGGTGCAGTGGACGCCGCCCTCCGCGCCGCCCGTCAGGTTCCAGATGAGCCAGGAGTCGACGGTGCCGAAGAGCGCCCGGCCCTCCTCGGCCGCCTGCCGCACGCCCGGCACGTTGTCCAGCAGCCAGCGGACCTTCACGGCGCTGAAGTAGGTGCTCAGCGGCAGGCCCGTCTTGGCCTTGACGAAGTTGTTGTTGCCCGGGATGCGCTTGCTGAGGCTCTCAACGGTAGACTGCGTTCGGAGGTCGAGCCACACCAGGGCGTTGTAGAGCGGCTCCCCGGTCAGCTTGTCCCAGACCACCGTGGTCTCCCGCTGGTTGCTGATGCCGATGGCCTTGATGCTGGCGATGTCGATGTTGAGCTCCTGGAGCTTCTCGCAGCCTTTCTCTACGCACTCATAGACGGACTGCAGGATCTCCTTGGGGTTCTCCTCCACCCATCCTTCCTTGGGGAACTCCTGCTCGATCTCCACCTGGTGATGGCAGAGGAGCTCGGCGGTCTTGGAGTCGAAAACCAAGAAGCGCGTCGAGCTGGTGCCCTGGTCCACGGCCCCCACCAACAGCCCATCTGTTCTCTTTGCCGCTGCCATGAAACCTGCTTCCGGGTGGGCTGGGGGGACGCGCGGCTGGTTTCCTAGGTGACGGCCGGCCGCGAGGGAGGGGGGAAGTGAGGGGGGGGAGGGAGGGGGAGGGAGGAGCACGCGCTGAGTCCAGAGGGCGGGAGGCCCAGGGTGACCCAAGAACACCAATGCGATGTTTTGAAATTGCTGCCTCTCTGATAACATTTTTCTACGATATGATTTCTTTATTGAACAAGTATTTATCGAGTGGCTGTTACGGGCTACATACGGTAGTAGGTTTATTGACAGTATCTCCCCCCAATTCATGTTTACCTGCAACCTGTGAATTTATTTGGAATTAGGACCCTTTCAGGTTCAAAGATGCAGGCATCCTGGAATAAGTGGGAGCCCTAAACCCGATGACCTATGTCCTTATAAGGTGAGGGGAATTTGGGGACAAAGAAATAGAGACATTGATATACAGAGAAGAAGGACATGTGACAATAGAGGCAGCCTCTGGAGTGTTGCACCTACAAGGTCAGCAGTGCCAAGAGCAAGGAGAGGTGCATGAATGACACTCTTTCTCAGATTCTCCCAAAGGGAACACGTCCACCGACATCTTGATTTTGGACGTAACAGCCACAAAAACTGTGAGAGAATAAATTTCTGTTGTTTTAAGACACCTCATTAGTGGTAACTTGTTCCACCGGCCCTAGGAAACTAGGCAGAACTATTCTAGATGTTAGAGATACAATAGAGAGGAAAACATAAAAGCTTCTGCAATTAGTTGTGTTCATATATTGTCTTTCCTCCTAGGCTTTAAGTTCCTAAAGAGAGGACCTCTTTCTTCCTGATCTTTGTTTTCCATAAAGTTCCTTATTCATAGTAGATGCTCAGAACATAAAGGTTCAATGAGTAGTGGGCTAGATAATGAGGAACATTTAAAAGAAGATTTGACTGTATATGGTGGGTACACATTGCAATATACAGATGGTGTATCATAGAATTGTACATGTTATTAATCAATGCCACCCCAATAAATAAAATTTTAAAAATAAAAAAGAGAAATATTGTACAGTTACAAAAGGGCCAACAATAAAAATTAAGGAAATGTTGCCCTAACCGGTTTGGCTCAGTGGATAGAACATCGACCTGGGGACTGAAAGGTCCCAGGTTCGGTTCTGATGAAGGGCATGTACCTTGGTTGGGAGCACATCCCAGTGGGAGGTGTTCAGGAGGCAGCTGATCAATGTATCTCTCTCATCAATGTTTTTAACTCTCTATCCTTTTCCCTTTCTCTCTATAAAATATCAATAAAATATATTTTTTAATTAAGGAAATGTTGCAGATTTCATGGTCAAATAAATCTTATGATTAAGCAAAGGTCTTACTTTAAAAAATGTTGCACTTATAAATGTTCTTTTATATAAGCTACCAGAAAAAAACATTTAAAAGTTTCTTGGAGAATCTGACTGCCTTTAGGGGACATCAATTTTGCCTTGATTTAGAAAATGGTACACCTAATTTTTTTTTTTTAGTTATTCCAGTGTATTGTAGAAAAAGCCATAAGACAATGTAGATATTTAACCTTTCTTGACCTAAGTTAGAAAAAACAATATCTAGCATATCTATTTTTCTTTCCAGTTTATAGGTTTCATAATTCTCAAACTAAGCAAAAACTTAAGAGCTGCAAGAAAATGGGTAAGTGGCATATTTTTATTTCCAGCTGAGATGGGTTCATTTTAGAATTTAGACATATTTAGGCAGTGTTGGAGGGACAGACATCTCAGAAGTCTATTCTGTAACTATTATGTGAAGCCCCTTGGAAAGGAACTCACACTAAAGAAGAAGTTGAATTCATAAGAGAGGTTCAAGGCAATGGACTTTTGTGGAAATGGTGGGGTATGAGTGTGTACAGCTCCTAATGCATTGTTCTTGTTCTTTATGACACACACATATCATGATTCCCCAACACAGACCAGAGATTTGTACTACCTGAGCCCTAAAAATGAAGCTCAATGGGAAACATTAAATCAGACAAGCATTTCCTTCAAGTCTCAGAAACAAAGAGCTAGGCAACACCCACTTGGGCCTAGATAAAAGAGCTAATGTAAAGAGCTTTGTCTTGGCTTTTGGAACAACAATATGGAAACAATAGCCACTACAGACAAAAGTAACTTTTACATCAATCATTGGCAGCTTTCAGGTAGGATAGAAACAAAGTGATCATATATGTGAGAGGTAATGACTTGATGGTGAACAGAAGACTTGAACAAGAAATTAAAATAAGAGGTAGGCAAACTGGAGCTGATAGAGTCCTCTAATGAGGACAATGGCACTTTGACTTGTAAGAACATTATTTCATTCAAAATCTTTGTGGATTCAGTCTCCTACAAAATTTACTTTTGTCAATTTATCAATATAAGAAATGTTATGTATAAAAGTAACATTATAGGTGACTAAAATACATTATGCCAACATATAAAATATTACTCCTTCCCTTTTCCTTTATTTATTTCTGCTATTCAGTAAAATAGTGTATTACAGGGATAAATATCCCTGTATTCAGAAGCCATCCTTTGATAGAAGAGTATAATTGCATTGTTTTTGGCAAATTTATAAACCCATGTTGTAATGTTGAAAAAACGATGTATTGCATATAGTATTGATTTTAGCATGTAATCAGTGCTGGCTATATTCTCCATTGGCCATAAGAAAAACTCTTTTAATTAACTTTGAAAATTCACTCATGTCATATAAATACATAAATATTCAAGTATGCCAAGCACATACACTCACAATTACTACTCAAAAATAAGGCAGGATTTTAGCCTATTTTGTACAAGTGAACCATAGTTCTTGATATATAATAAGTGCTCAATCCTATCTAATAAAAGAGTAATATGTAAATTGACCATCAATCCAACACACAAGATGGCTGCCCCCATGTGGTCAAAGATGGCTGCCCCCATGTGGGCACAAGATGGCCACCACAAGATGGCCAGCAGGGGAGGGCATCCTGGAATAAGTAGGAGCCCTGAAAAGGAGGGCAGTTGGGGGCAACCAAGCCTGCGGGGGACAGGGAGCATTTGGGGGTGACAAGGCCTGAAGGGGAGGGCAGTTAGGTGCAAACAGGCTGGCAGGGGAGCAGTTAGGCATCAATCAGGCTGGCAGGGCAGTGGTTAGGGGGTGATCAGACTGGCAGGCAGAAGTGGTTAGGGGCAATCAGGAAGGCAGGCAGGCGAGCAGTTGGGAGCCAGCAGTGCTGGATTGTGAGAGGGATGTCCGACTGCCCGCTTAGGCAGCTGGACATCCCTCGAGAGGTCCCAGATAGGAGAGGGAGCAGGCGGGGCTGAGGGACACACACCCCTCTGGATGAAATTCATGCACCAGGCCTCTAGTAAAATAATAATTACTGCCCTCGTCAGTGTGGCTCAGTCGATAGAGCGACAACCTGTGGACTGAAGAGTTCTAGGTTCGGTTCCGACAGGGCACATGCCCGGGTTGTGGGCTCGATCCCCCGTGGGGTGTGTGCAGGAGGCAGCCAATCAATGATTCTCTCACAACATTGATGTTTCTATCTCTCCCTATTTCTTCCTCTCTGAAATCAATAAAATTATATTTTTAAAATAATAATTACTGTCAATATTGTCATTGTGGCAATTATTAAGAAATGTCACTGACTTATGAATAAACCCTTCTGAAAAGTTAGAACTGCATCATCTTGATCTTAGATAATACTCTAAGAAAGCACGTTCAGGGGAAGGGTTAGTAGATTGGTGTTCCTTTGTCAAAAAAAATTAATAGATTTGTGTTACTTTGTCAAAAAAAAATTGTGATTATGGTTACTTTAGGACAAACCATAGGCAGGAGGAGAGGAGACATGTTCTTAGAATTTTGCTCCAAGAATCCCTTAGCTCAGCCTGCACCTCATTCCAGCCTGGTCACTAAATCCCTGTACCTTTGGCTTTTTCTAGCAAGAGGTGGTATAGTCTAGTGCCTTGAAGTCTAGGCTCTGATTCCAGATGTGCAATGGCTTTAATCCTTGCTCCATCAGTTGCTAGCTTCATAACCTTGGGCAATCTATTTAACCTCAGGTAATTAAATTTCCTTTATCTATAAGTTTATGACAGCACCTACCTAATAGGTCTATTGTGAAGATCAAAAATTTTTTACATTTTAATGAAAGTTTGTAGCACATAATAAATCCTTGGTATAAATAAGCCCTTTATATTGACTGGCTTTATAATGGTCTTTCATTTGGTGATAACTCTACACTCTCTGACTTTAGCTGTGTCTCAGTGTTCCTTCCTGTCTTTTTTTTTTCCTCCCCTAGTCCAATCTCTCATGCTAGTTTGGTTGGCATTTTTATACCTCCAAATGGGCTTCTGTTTTTATTACTCTATGGCATACCTATTCATACTGAAACCCAGCTATTTAGGATCTAAAAGAGGGTCTCATGAGTTAGAATAAGAAGAGCCCAAAGATCATGGTACTATATGAAGTATTTATGAAGTGTTTTCTCCTTATGACACATGCATGATTTACTGAGAAAAAAGTGTTGATTTATCCTGGTCATTGCATAAATAATTAATACAGTAGGAGCTCAAATAATGTTATTTTGATCAATATGCTTTTGTTATAATTTTATGAGATGTTACAGGAACTTAACTCTTATTTATATATCTATATCAATTAGCCTATGGTAAATTTGGTTTCAATACACATCATTTTACCATAGTTTAAAAACATTTCAACAATGTTAGGTGAGGACTTGCTGTACTATGAGTATGTGCTGCCAATAACCTCTTAAAGGAAAATAATTAAATGGAAAGCTACTTCTTAAGGCAATTTTATTATTAGGAATTATTTAAGTGTTGCATAATATAGAAAAAAGATAGTTGGTAACAAAAGTAGGACTCTCTATATTCACATATTTTAATTTAACAATTTTGGTTGGTGGCAAAAATATAAAACAAAGACTGAAAATAGTGCAAGGTGATGACCCTATTAATTTTTGGGCTCAGAAC